TTATTGCCATGGAAACCAGGGAAAGTGAAAATTCTTTAACTTTGATTTTTAAATAAAAGTACCGAAAGGACTGATACGAATTGATGGTTGTCCAAGCTTAGCTGATGGGTATTGTTTTAGTGATACAAAAAATGAAAGTCTTGTCCAGTTAATAAATTGCTTGCAATAGCAGACTTTCTAGTTTGATATTGATATTTTACTATCTTGATATATAGAATATGAACAGAAATTCTGTGAACAGTTACTCCTCTGATTGAGATTTAAAAAAATCAAATTTCAGTTGTTTTTCTTTTCAAAAAAGTCACCTGCATGGCACAGTGGTAAGAGCATCTGCTCTATAGAGTCGCAGAGTATAGAGTTGTTCCTTTCATCATGGGTTCAAATACCACTGCTGAATATGCAGACAGGTCCTTCGGATGAGACCATATAAACCGAGGTCCCATGTCGCAGTAGATGGCACAAAAAAGATCCCTCAATGCCCAATGGCCTTGAGTGCCAATGTAGAATGATAAAAAATTAGCAGCTCTCCATGGGCAAGTGGTGGCATCTCTATATGAGTGAAAAATTCCCAAGAGGGTTAAACATTAGAAACAAACCAACAAAAAAACTTTTCAAAAAAAAAGATAAGCAAAGTCAACATTAATAAAAGCAAACTTTTATATAACTAGAGAACAATTAGACTTAAATTTGAATAAAGGTGGTTAAACAGTATCTTTGAGTATTTTAAAGATTAGAACAAATTTCCTTATAATTAATTCAGTACCTCTGCTGTGTACAAAATAACTTACCTTATTGTTTAATAACTTACCTTATTGTTTCTTTCTTGAAAAAAAAAGTTTGTAAAAAATTTTAAGAAGTTACAAATAAATGTAAAGTGAGGTTCAGACTTACATTTTATTTTAGAAAATGGTATCTTCTCACAAATTTATCAGAATGATTGTGAAATTTACATTTTACAAAATTGACTTGATGAATTGTATAGGGTATACTTACTGGATGATTTATTATTTATTTATACTGGTATTCTGTTGATCATGAAAAAGGCAAAGCTTTATTTGCCAGAAAGAAACCATCATATTCAATTGCCCAATGATGAAAGTACATTGTAAGTTGTAATAGTCCAATTTTCATTTTAAAAACTGATTTGCAAAACATGATCTTTTTGAATGCATAAAAGAGCAACAGAGTAAAAATCTAGAAATAAGTCTTTGTCATTAGATGATTACCCCAAGGAATCTGCTACATTTTCTGGGATTCGCTTACACAGTACTTGAGTATCCATACCGAAATACTAAGCCTCCATGAATTCCCTGTGGAATATACCATGGATAATTGTAACAGAAACTTATTTTTTGAGGTGGATTTAGATTGCATTTGATTAAATTTTTAAAATGATAATGATAATTAGGTTGCACTGTGGATAACTAAGTTTCTTATAAAAAGTATACCATTATAGATTTATATGTAAGCCATTTAGCACTGGTTGCGTAATGAAATTACTTACAACTCAAGAGACCCTAGGCTGCCATTTGAATGGCATAAGTGTTTGCAGACACAACCCATACGCTTATTAGATCAATGTTATTATTTACGTCCCATTACAAAGAATAAAACAATGGATCGGCCCTGCTGCCGGCCGGGGAGTAGTCTCGTCAGTCTGAGGAATTGTGGGAAGCTGCCCAGCCCCTGTCCCTGCTCTTTTCACCTTTCCGGCTTGTTACGGTTTGTATTTCTCTGGGTTTTTTCTACACAATTGCTGTATCTGGAAATCCTAAGGGGCCTAAAAGCTCATTTTGTTCGACTGCCAGGGGTTGCATGTTCTGTAATATATTGGAAGTTTTAGTGTGTTTTAACAGAGACTTAATTAGAATGGCAGCAATGGTTGATGTTTTTGGTTAGTCTTAGAAATTGGCAGAATTCTTTGATATTTTGGGTTAGACTTTGAGCAGCAGAATTTGTTTGATATTTTGGGGTAGACATAGAATTTTTTTTTGGGGGGGTAGCTTTAGAATGGCAGAATTTGTTAATATTTTGGGTTAGATTTTGTGTAGCAGAATTTGTTTGATATAACAAATAGACATAGAATTTTATTTGCAATGGGGGAGACTTAGAATGGCAGAATCTGTTTATATTTTGGGTTGGATGGAGTGTAAGTTGTTTTTTTTTTTCAAAACACAAACTAATTTAGCTTTAATTTTCGTTTTCATTTGTCATTCCGCAATCAATTTTAACCAAAGTATTTAGAAGCATGTATATTTCTTTATTTCATACATGTTACATGTACTTTGGGGATGGGTATTGCCAAAAATTTTGTATCGCGATATATCACGATTATTATCTACAATATCACGATAATATCATGATATTTTTAAAAGCAGTTTTTACAATGATTTTATATGAAAAGTCATTATTTTTCTAAAAAAATATACTAGAAAAACAAAATTTTACTTTCTTAAAATTTTTATGTATATAAAATCAATTATGTTTGGACGGTAAGATGCCGTTCTTTTCACTTTTTACAACATTTTTTATACTTTCTGTAATTGTGATTTGAAAGATTGAACAAATAAATGAATAATTTCTGAATTTTATAATATGTACCTAAAGACCGGTATTTAGGTCTCCGTATCACGATATGTATCATGCAACAAAAAATCTCGATATACCTGTATACCAATAAAATCGCACATCCATAATGTACTTGTATGACTCTTTCCACAAATCTCTTTAGACAATTTCTGTAGTTTAAAATTGGTCTTCAAGCTTTATGAAGTTGTAAGATGTTAGATGAATTTGTAAGGTGTGAAAAATCTATGAAAGGTGAAAGAAAAACCATGAACCCAGCTAACATGGCACATCTAAACAGTTTTGAAAAGATAAATTTTGGTCAAACATGCAAAGCTGTTTTTTTATAATAAAAGTCCTTTTGAAAATTAAAGTAAAAGGATTTTTTAAAATCATTGTTTGGTTTTTAATAAAGATGAACTAAATTGGTGATATATGCCAAACATGCGTCATTGGTTTAAGTTTTGAAAAGCCTTATGATGCTAAAATTTTTATAAGCTGAACATGTCTGTAATACGATAATTCGTTTAAGGTCATATACATTTATTTGAATATGTATTGAAGATTGATTTTTTAAACAAAATGCCATTCTAACTCTATCATCAATAGTCTACAGACAGACCTTCCTATTGAGTGAAAGATAATTATCCAACTGACACAAACTGGACCAGAAAATTATCTCTTAGTTGCAATAGAGTGAAAAATGGAGTTTTAGGCACAGAAAATCAAATCTATAAGGCAGGTGGTCCCTTGATGGAATAAAATTGTCAGCCTCAGTTTTTGGTGTATCATTAATATCTGTATAGCAATTAAGATGAGTCTGTGAGAGGAAGAGGTAGGGCATCATTGTTCTTCAGAATCTAGCTCCTACTGAGGTTATTGTTTTCATTTTGATGAAAATTTGTTCATAAACATGTTTATTGCTTAGTTTTTTTGCATCAATATATTTCCACTTCCTTCAAATAAAAATTAAATATGTATTTGGAAGGGTCCATCCCTTCCAAACATACAAAAGAATTTTTGTCTTTGAATGGATCTATTGCATTTCCACCAGCAGTTTATCTGATCTTACTTAAAATCTAAAAAGGAAATGGAAATTATTACTTCTTAAATGCAGTTCTGAAATATCTTATATAAGAACTCTTTTCTAACCTATCCAGTGATTCTTCTTTCTTGTTTCAAAGATTGAGGTGGGATAGAGGGATGCATCAATGACCTTGACCTTTCTAGATATACATTCACTAACATGCGGTTAAGATACTTATGCATGGAACAAACCCTTTACATAAAATTTCAACTTGTGCTGAATAAAAATGATTGAAGTATTGTAAGGTTTCTTACTGGATTGATGAGGTTGATTGAATTTGAAATTCAGGAGAACTATGAAGGTTTCATTGAATGCTGTTTGAATTCTTATCAATAACTTTCATTAATTGAGGATTATTATACCTTTTGTAGTTTATTCTACATGTTTGTGTTTATCTAATTGTTGATTTGATCTATGAATTTTCATAAAAATACACATTAACACACTTAATCTTTGATCAATTCATATAAAACTAATTATTTGCAATGGTAATAACCTAGATTTTGAGAGCTGGAGACAGATATTTACACTTGGGAACAAAGATAATGCTGAAAGGAATAAAGGACAACTGTTAATTAAACCCCTTCATTTAATGCCTTGGCTTTGTACTTGGTTAATGGTGCACTATCACTTTTGATTTTAGCACCCATCTATATTAATTAACACTGCAGTAATGTGAAGGAATTCTTCATTACCTCTGCAGTAATGTGAAGGAATTCTTCATTACCTCTGAGTGCTGTCCTGCGTGGCCTTGGGATGGTTCAGAATCAATATTACAGAACGGTAAAACAGTTACCAATTCATACACTTTCTGTTTTTCCTGATGAACAAGAGAATTTAATGCATTCTGTCGTAATAACTCATAATTTAGCAAGGAAAAAAGTATTAGTTGTATCATAAGGCAAGGTTTCTAAACCTTCATTAGTATTTCCTCAAAGGGATGATTTATTAATATTGTATTTAAACACACTGAACACTATTATATAATGTATCTGTTTGGCATCATTGCCTTTTTTGGCTGTAATAAAGTTTTTAAGATGGAGGAGCATACTGCCGTTATAAAATGAAAAATGATCAGAAAATGGGTCATTGCCTCATTGGTGTCCTTTTGGACAAATGAAGATCCACTAGCATATACAGAATAATATTATATTGAACTGTAAAATAACAGAAAATCCTGAATGGCTTATTAAAACTTAATATGCAGATGCAAGTGTACCTATTCTTATAATTATTTAAAAACAGATAAAAATAAAAAAAAAATCTTTCTTCTGTATAATATATTGATAAATTAGAGAATGGGATAACAGAATTATCTTTCTTTGAATTTGATCATATGTATTTTCAGAGGTCCATTTAGTGTAGTAAAGAGATGTATTCACAGAGAAACAAAACAGCAATTTGCAGTGAAGATAGTAGATGTGGCCAAGTTCACCTCGAGTCCAGGCCTCAGTACAGAGGGTAAGTGTTTCATCACAAAGATTGTAGATGTGGCCAAGTTCACCTCGAGTCCAGGCCTCGGTACAGAGGGTAAGTGTTTCATCTCAGAGAGAGATTGTAGATGTGGCCAAGTTCACCTCGAGTCCAGGCCTCGGTACAGAGGGTAAGTGTTTCATCACAGACAAAGATTGTAGATGTGGCCAAGTTCACCTCGAGTCCTTCCTCGGTAAAGAGGGTAAGTGTTTCATCACAGACAAAGATTGTAGATGTGGCCAAGTTCACCTCGAGTCCAAGCCTTTGTACAGAGGGTAAGTGTTTCATCACAGACAAAGATTGTAGATGTGGCCAAGTTCACCTCGAGTCCAGGCCTTGGTACAGAGGGTAAGTGTTCTATCTCAGACAAAGATTGTAGATGTGGCCAAGTTCACCTGGAGTCCAGGCCTTGGTACAGAGGGTAAGTGTTCTATCTCAGACAAAGATTGTGGACATGAATAAGTTCACCTTAATAAAAAAAGTTCAAGCCTCAGAAAAAAGAGTAAATGTTTCATTTCAAATGAACTGGAGTGCACAGTTAGTGCATTGGTGTGGCAGTCTGTTTATTAGTTTAAAAGACATGTAAATTTTCATCAAACTTCATTGTCTTTGGAACAAATGCATGTACCATTGTGTGTACTGTACCAAGATATATTTGCATTAGTGCACATTTACTGTCTTTTAATTGTTTTTTCTGACATTTTCAGACTTGAAGAGGGAGGCCAGTATTTGTCACATGCTGAAGCACCCCCATATTGTGGAGTTACTGGAGACCTACAGCTCTGATGGCATGCTCTACATGGTGTTTGAATAGTATGTATACAAAGTGTTACACTTTTAAAAGGTTAAGTTACCCTCTGCTCACTTATTTTAGCTCTCAAAAAGAAATATATTTTATAAGAAAAACAATTACCGTATAATCCCTATTAACCGCCCCGGGCGCTTAGAAAATTGCGAAAAGGGGGCGGTTAATTTAGTATTCTCTTTATAATATTTAATATCATATTTACTTCAAAAAATCTTTTGAAAAAAAAAAAATAAATACAAGGAACCACTAAAATGATGTCTAACTTTACTTTAAGTGAAGATTATCCACCCCAGCGAGAAACTGGATAGAAGACACGTTTCATTTTTACTTTCTTCAGATCTTTGATACGATTCTAGATCATTTTAATCACTGTACGGGGGGCCCTTATTTCCTTGCAATTGAAAAAGACCCAAGGGGGCACTTATAGGGGCAGGGGCGGTTAATAGGGATTATACGGTATATATATAGTTGGCAAGGCAAAATTAAACATAAAGAACCTTTCTACTTTACAATTCAATACAGGAATAGTAGAAATTTATAGCAATAAGAGTTATCTCTCTTAACATGTACATGTAGTAGGATTTCAGTCTAAGGGTCTAAGAAGGAGTTTCTCAATCATTGAAAGCTTGTCATGATCATTGGAATTTCTCTTGCATTTTAAGTGGTGCCTATCAATTAAGTAATGTTTTTTTTAAGTTTTGTGTGAGTTATTGGTGTTTATATCGCACAGACTTGTCACTTTTAAAAGCACGCCTCATGAAAAATGTGCCTTTGTGTTAGTCTGTGTGATTTACACACCAATAATTCACACTTAACTTAAAAACATTCCTTATATTTACATTTTATATGTTTGAAAGCACCACAAATATACTCAATATTTGAATTTCTCGCTGCACTTTATTGTTATATTTTTATCAATGTCTCTGAAGACACACAGTTCTTGTGATGTCACGTTAGCGTGATTTCTCGCTGTATATTTCTTTGCTCTGATCTAAGAAATATAACTCTGTTTTACTTATCCAGAAAAATTTTCTAAAACCCTTTTTATTGTTATATTTGTTTTTGTCCTGTCTGTTTGTCTGTTTATCTGTTTGTCTGTTTGTCTGTCTGTCTGTTGTCAACTTTAACCTTCGCCATAATTTTTGAACCATCAAAGATTTCATATTTGGTATGCATACTCCACCAATAAAGTTCTTTCGAATGACACCAAGGTCAATGACCTTGTGACCTTGACTCTGACCTATTTGCTAAAAATAGCTTTTTTGAATTTTTGCCATATCTTTTGAACCATGAGAGATAGAGACTACATATTTGATATCCTTACTCCACCAATGACGCTCTTCCAAATGACACCAAGGTCAATGACCTTGTGACCTTGACTGTGACCTATATGCTAAAAATAGATTTTACACAATTTTCGCCATAACTTTTGAACCATGAGAGATAGAGACTTCATATTTGGTGTGCATACTCCACTAATGAAGTTCTTCAAATGACACCAAGGTCAATGACCTTGTGACCTTGACTTTCACTTATCTGCTGAAAATAGTTTTTTTAAACTTTCTTGCCGCCGGGCGCATAGTGTTTCACAAACACATCTTGTTTTTAGTGCATTGGTTTTGAAACATTCAGAGTTGTAGGCCTTTAAAATTTTTTATATTTAGTAGCATTTTGTATGTCTGTAGTTGCAGAAACACCCAGCTGGGAAAATGGTTTAAATTGCTGTAGTTCTCCATGTCATATGGACAAAGTTGTTTATCCTTAATATCTGTAGGAATCTATTGGCAAACAGGGCTGATATTCAGTGTGCAATGTCACTGTATCTTGCACTGTTTTGAGAAAAGTTTTAGCTCGACTGAGCTGAAAGCTCAAGTGAGCTTTTCTGATCATCTGCTGTCCATCCGTCCATCTGTCTACATGTAGCTTTCCAGCTGTCTGTAAATTAACTTTTCACATTTTCAACTTCTTCTCAAGAATCACCATGTCAATTTTAACTTAAATGGTACAAAGCATCCTTGGGTGAAGCGGAAGTAAAATTGTTTAAATGAAGGACCATTAGTCCCTTTACAAGGGGGCCTTGTCAGCAAATACAACCTATTATTTAGTCAAACGCTGACTAACACATTTTATACTAATTGCTAGGCCAATTATTTATGCTGAATTGTCTGCAATCCCCCCCCCCCAATATCTGTATTTCCTGGGTGTCAAAGTTTTACATTGAAATTTTTAGAAATCCTTAAAAATCTCTTCTCCTCAAAAACCACTGGGCTAGTAAAGCTGAAACTTATGTGGAGACTATCTGAGGTACTGTAGATTCTAAGTTGTTGAAATCATGACCCCTGTAGTAGGATGGGGCCAAAATAAGTACAGTTGTACTACAGGTGGGAAAATCTGGTGAAGAACAGCAGGGCCAAAGTTACTCAGGTGAGCAGTGTGGCCCATGTACCTCTTGTTTGTCAGAGCATTTAACAATTTGCATTCTTTAATAGGTTGTCTATTTAGATCAGCTTCAACTGATGCCTTATTAAAACTGAAGAGATCAGAATCTTATTTGGACCAGCATTCCCTTTCGTCTAATGTCTCTGTGTGTGTAATTTTAGTTAACTGAGGCTGTGTATGGATGTAAAACAGAGCGATAGAGCCTAGCAGTGCTGGAAATTGTTGTGAAGTGACAATTTTTCTTTACACTTTGAATTATATATAAGGCAGCTAGCAGAACATTACAAAAATACTCTACCATTAAGGATATCTGCTTGTAAGCCAGGAACAATAACTCTTAAAATGATTATTTAATTAAAAAGTCAATTCTCAGAATGAAGCACTTGAAGTTGAATTCTGTTCTTGTAACAATTTACATTTCTTAGATCTTTATATGTTTCATAGTCATTTGAGGTCATAAAAACAGTAGAATGTCAACATTTGTATACCAATTAGGCACAAAAATTAAATCTTTTTTAGAAAAAGTGAATTTCCTGTAATCTAGCTTACACACCAATGCTAAATACATGATGTGAGATTAGAAGTGATCTTGTGATGTGTTCATTAAGTACAAAAAAATGAACTTCTTGCCATGAGCATTGGGTTCTTTCTTGAATTAAAATGATTCCACAGTACATTGATGTAAGAAGTGAGTTAATAAGTATGTAAAATTTTTAAGATAAGGTGAAAGATTCGTGAACATTGTGATAGCATCAGGTCCAATTTTATTGCAATGAACTACAGAAGCCATGGGAATTCAGTGACGTGATTGTTATGTTAAGTAATGTATATCTTGACTGCATTGCATATAAATCTGATTCTCTGTGTATTGTATGGCCTCCGGGTTCACAAGATAAGATAAAGTAATCGGAATACTTTACATTAATGTCCCATTCACATGTAGAGTTTGATTTGCTTTAAATTAATGCAAAGTAAAATAATGCAAATTAAACTAATGCGAATTAAAGTGCATTTACATGAGAGCTAATGGGAAGTAAACTGATGCAAATTATATTTTTAATAAAAATTTATTTCAACAGTAAGGCTATTTAGTAAGGCTATTATGACATCATTTATAAATCACATTTTGCAGAAAGGATGCATTCGTGTATTGTCATAGTGTCTGTAATGTTTTGTGATTAACATGATTTGCCTTTGTTTTCCTCCCCAAAATAACACAATCTGATCACCAACATGTGACAAGTGACTTAATTCTGCCCTTGCGCATGCCTCAAAATTTAATTGGACTAAGTTTCGCTTAGCCTTAATTCACACGTAGCTGATGCGAAGTACCTCAGGGTAATTAAATGCGCAGTAAATTTATTCGAATTAAATTAATTCATGCATTAAATTCTCCTTGTGAACACGGTTCAAATTAAATTCGCAGTAAACTTAGTTTAAAAACTAATTTTTAAAAATATCTCCTTTATACAAATGCCAGTCTTATTAAGATTTTACTAGATTTTGTTAATTCTGTGTTCCTAACAACTTTCAGCTTGTAATATGCAGACTTTTGAAATAAAATGAATAATGGTTATAACGTGATATAAATCAGTGTTCTAGCTTCTTGTAATATCCTATATTGGAGTCCACTACTTACCGGTAATATTGTGAAGAAATGAGGTGTTTTCCTTTGATTGATTAGATTCAACTATCCTTTGATTATGCTTAGGCAAGTAAATGTTAACTAAGCGTTGACTTGCCCACTTTGCAATTGATTTCTATTCCTTTGAGGTCATTTATTTCAATACTCCTATTAACACAGTACCTAGGTATCAGGCATCTTAAATACCTAACTGAATATGGGTTAAATAACTTTTTAGCTCACCTGAGCCAAAGGCTCAAGTAAGCTTTTCTGATCTCAATTTGTCAGTTGTCTGTCGTTGTCGTCGTCGTTGTCGGCGTTGTTGTTGTAAACTTTTCACATTTTCATCTTCTTCTCAAGAACCACTGGGCCAATTTCAACCAAACATGCTACAAAGTATCCTTGGGTAAAGGGGATTCAAGTTTGTTCAAATACCATACCCTTTTCCAAGGGGAGATAATTATGAATTAGAGAAAAATTAATGGCATTTTTAAAAAATCTTCTTCTCAAGAACCACTGGGCCAGGAAAGATGAAACTCATGTGGAATCATCCTCATGTAGTGTAGATTCAAGTTTGTTCAAATCATGACCCCCGGGGGTAGGGTGGGGCCAAAATGGCCGATCAAAATTTTACATAGGAATATATAGGAAAAATCTTTAAAAATCTTCTTCTCAAAAACCACTGGGCCAGGAAAGATGAAACTCATGTGGAATCATCCTCAGGTAGTGTAGATTTAAGTTTGTTCAAATCATGACCCCCGGGGGTAGGGTGGGGCCAAAATGGCCAATCAAAGTTTAACATAGGAATATATAGGAAAAATCTTTAAAAATCTTCTTCTCAAAAACCACTGGTCCAGGAAAGATGAAACTCATGTGGAATCATCCTCAGGTAGTGTAGACTCAAGTTTGTTCAAATCATGACCCCTGGGGGTAGGGTGGGGC